GCTCCATTAAGTCAAAAAGGAAATTTAGTAGTCATCTATTAAAATTTATGAGAAAAATAATCTCTCTTCAGTCCAGTGGTGTTTGAGGTCTCTTGTGTCTGCGCTGAGGGGTAAATGAAAATAATTTGTATTAATTTTAAACTAATAATATGATGAATCAACTGGGTTAAAATGACTATTATTACATGCACTGTATGTTGAAGTGTTACTATCGCCCCGACCACGGTTACAATCACCTCCACATTGTATCACTCTGACTTCCTGAAGTAATATTGTGTCTTGTCTTTTTATTATAATGGTACAGTTTTAGCATCTATACACTTTTCTTTTCCTAAAGAAAAGGAAATAAAGAAGAGAGGTGAAAGTCAAGGGAGAGAACTGACACAGAGAGATAATAAAAAAATAATGAAATCAAATCTGCTTTGAAACCAGGCTTCATGTTGAAAGCATTGTGTGGCTGCATTATTAAAATGAATTATGGACAAAAAAAAAAATCCTGTATTATGTGCAAAAAAACAGACCCAGAAAACCTGGGTTGCTATGATTACGTAAGCACAAGAGAAAGAGGCAATGCAGCTTTCACAATGAATTCCTGTCTGAATACTGAAATACTTCCCTGTCTGCTGTGGAGCAGCTACTCTAGAAACTGTGTACTAATCTTGCAGCTTTTTAAGATGAAACACTATATATATATTTTTCATTAAACTGTCAGGCAGAGTAAAGTCAACTGATTTTGTTTTAGATTTCAGAACACATTTTTAGATGAAATGCTTCAGTTCTGCTGACCCAGTTTAACTCATTAAAATACAACAGCTTAATATACTATCTATCATGTATAAGGTCCATAATGATGTTTTAAATTCAAGATAATAGAGCTTTTAAGGGTCACAGTTCTTTTTAGAGAATTCATGCAGTAGATTGCAATTTTTATTGCGAATACAACACTGCCCTCTAGTGTTCATTAATTTAGTGACATGATCATGAGCGGAGCGTGAAGATGTGGCATATGACTTACAATTGAAGATTTAAAAATATTATTTTAATTAGAAGATTATTCCGGTTCTGTTTCTGTTATATATTAAACATATTAAATGTTATTTGACAATGCTGTTTTTTTTTTAAAGAAAACATTTTTACATGCCCAAATATTTAGACATTTAAAAAAAGTGTATAATAATAATAATAATAATAATAATCAACACCAAAACCTGTAATGACATACCTTAAAACAACAAATCTCATTTTGAAAAGGAAGAAACATTACTTATGTAGGTCCATTATTTTTTTTATTATAAAATTCATTATTTTGTATTTTAAACAAAATAATATTTTGCATGTTAATTAGTTTGATGGAAGATATTTTATTTTATTGTAATTCAGTTTGCTTTAGTTTAGTGATAAGCCATACGATAGACCAGCAGTCGTTTAGGTTTCAAATTATGAATGATATTAAAAATATTATTTTAATTAGAAGATTATTCCGGTTCTGTTTCTGTTATATATTAAACATATTAAACGTTATTTGACAATGCTGTTTTTTTTTTAAAGAAAACATTTTTACATGCCCAAATATTTAGACATTTAAAAAAAGTGTATAATAATAATAATAATAATATGAAAAGAAAAAAGAGGAAGCTTTATCTTTTCTTATAACACCCATGTATTTCCCTGCTTCTGTGTGTGTCTGTGAGAGTGAGAACTAATAGATTTCAAAGCAAAGCTTGTGTAACCACAGCTGGCTTATATACGGTTTTTGTTGATTAAAGCTGTTTTAAGGGAAAGATTGCATCGATTTGCAGCTCGACTCTCTTCATGTTGTATATCCCGGTGATTGGTTGTGTTTTGATGGATAAACTGGAGCCTTGAGGAGCTCTGCTGTGTAATGAGAGAGAGCTGGTGTTTAATGCTGCATTCAGCAGCACATTCACCTGCAGGCGGCTTTCACACACAAAGAAACGCTTTGGAGAGTTTCAATCCAGAGGCTGGGTCAGCTGTCACAAAGACTATGTCTCAGTAAATCACTGAGATTACAAATGACACACATATGTGTTTTCTGATTACGTTTATGTGTCAATAAGCAGCAGTTTCTCATTGCAAGTTACCCTTGTGAAAAGGAAGCACACCTGACATACTTAAAAAAAAAAGAGTACTTATTACTAAAATAATATACTTTAAAAGAATGCACTTAAGTACAAACCAAAATGCAATGTTTTCACTTGCAATTAAATTAAAATATAGTTGACATTTATATTTATAGTTGACTTTATTTGTGCTTTATGCCAACACATTAAAATAAGTGTACTTCTTTAAAGCACGACAAAAGATTCAAACATAAGGATCTCAATCACTTTTAATTTGACATTATCACAAACTTTTAAAAGTGTACTTAGTCTTGAAAGTGTCTCTTTAAGTACACTTAAATGACCTTTTATTTTATTAATATTATGGTGATGCTTAAGGTAATGTTGTTACGGTGTAATATTATCTAACTGCATGTACTAGGTTTAAAGGTTAGGGTTTGGTTTAGGGTTAGTTACTTGGAGTTATGCATAATTTACTGTTATTATAGAGTAAGTACATGCAATGTGTAACTACGTCACTTTAAAATAAAGTATCTTTTCTGGGTCACACTTTAGTTTAGGGACCAATTCTCACTATTAGCTAACTAACAACGACTTCTGCCTCAATAAACTCCTAATTTGCTGCTTATTAATAGTTAGTAAGGTTGTTCAGTTTAGGTATGTGGTGGATTAAGGGATCTAAAATATGATCATGCAGAATAAGGCATTAATATGCGCTTTATAAGTACTAATAAACAGCCAATATGCTTGTAATATGCATGCTAATAAGCAACTAGTTAACAGTGAGAACTGGTCCTTAAACTTATGTTAACATTTTCTGTAATATTCAGTATTAGCACATTCAATACAATTAAGTGCACTTGTTTTGTGACGACATGCCCCACTAAAGTATCAAAACAAGTTTTTTTTTTTTAAATATCAGTAAACTGCTCAAATGCATTGTTTAAAGTATGTGTCTACAGTAATTAACTTTAAGCCCCGAGAAATATTGACTGGAGTAAAAAGCTTTCTCCAGTGATTTCATTTGCTCATTATTATTTCAAATAATGATCATTTATGTAATATAACTAATCAAATAATTAGCACAATACACACAACAGAGCGTGTAAGTTCACAGACATTGCTATCAGAGTCCCTCTGGTTAGAAATATACTGATATTGCTGGTGGATGCCGGACACTTTTGTGCCTCATTTGAATACTTTCAGTTCTTCTTGTGTGTAAAATAAGCCCTAAAAACCACAAAAAGTGTAAATTTATACTATGTAAATATGTCAAAAGTACACTGTAAACACTTTAGCACATGCTAGTGCTTGTTTTGTCATCAAGTTGCTCAATATCGCCCTCTGCTGTCCATTATTTACACCTGCATGCTCTTTGAATGTCTTTCTGATTAAAATCTATAGTTAAAAAAATGAACAAAAGAAAACTAAATTATAAAAAGAGCCAAAGTTTCAGAACACATTTATTGGAGCCGAATCTTTGGAATATGTCAGTCGATCTGATTTGATCAGAAACAGAGCAGACGTGGAGGAGTTTTTCTTCTGTGACGCAGATGTTAAATTACAAAACACTGATATCCATTTTAAGGCCTTGCTGTTTTTATTAATTTTTTTCCCTTCCTACAACAGCAACTTACAGAGGCAGTATTGAAAATAAAAGTTTTCTTTGCTTCCGCATCTTCTTGTAAAAAAAACAAAAAACAAATCAGCACAAAATTTCAACGACAGTACAAAAACCAAAAGATAACCAGGGTCAGGTAAACGGGAGCTTTACTATAGGAAATCTGTATACCTTTTTCAATAATGAAAACATCTCGATAATTGACCATTTCAGAATCGTATTACATATTCTGAAACAATATTAAAAAAAAAATGAACACTGTCTTTTTTATTTCAGTTGTCTTTTTTTACAAATGAATGCTATAAACACATAAACTTCATCAAATATATTGATCAGTGCAACATTGTTTCTTTTTCGTTAATGCTACAGTATGCTTTCTCACAGAATCCCGACTGAAGCCAGTCGCCTTTATCCAGCTTCAGCTGACACACATGTAGCATCGACACGAGGATTCATGTCATCGGAAACGGGAAAACCAAAGTGTTTGCCACAGTATACAGCACAGTACATGAACATACCGAGAAACCTGTAGAAAACATTAGTGTTGTCAGCAGTGAAGCCCTGTTATCGGTTAAACTGCATGTGTATGCCGTTGCTAAAGTCAGATCCATCCAGCGGTCCCGAATCCAAGCTGTTGACCGAATGATAACCCATGAGAATGCATCGTAGCCGAGGTCTCCAGACGTCTCAAGAGAATGGGTTGTTGCGTTTGGACCCTGCAGTTTGAGGCAACAGTCCTTTGGTACACACACGAGGCCAATGACAGAACGCTTGCGAAGCGATGCGTGAGAACATTTAATAGCACCACTCTTAAAATGAGAGTTTTATTCAAGAGCACATGCATTCAAGCTCGACGGATGGTGAAAGAAGCGCTTTGATGAAACGTGTGAGGGTTGAACTGTAGGCCGCTCACTTCAAATCAAAGCGATCAAGGCAGTGATGATCATCAATTTTTTCTTCTTTTTTTGGTATGCTGGAAAAACAGACATTCTGAATGTGATTATAGAGGATATGATGATGTTCGCTTATAAATCTGTAATCCAAACTCAACCGAGCCACTGCGGACGTCTATGAAATGCATTTACTGTATGTGCGAATGCTGTTCCCATGCACGCTGGATTTGTATTAACATCTGTTTTGAAAAAGGGCTTCATTTTTTGGGAGCGTAGCAAAACAACCAAAACAGGACGGAACCAAAAAAGCACACTTTTCACTTTCACAAAACAGTCAGACGATTGTATTTACAACATACAACCCAAGAAAAAAGGGATACTGCAGCTTTCTTTTTTTGTCCTTTTACTCATTTCTTTGAAAAGGGCATTAAAATATATTAAAACTTATGTACAATATGCAGGACTTCAACATTAAAGCGCTATGAATTTACCGGGATTTGTTTTGCAGATTCGACCGACAGCTTTTTTCAAGAACTAAAGGGTTGAAAACACCACAAAAACAACAGAGGAGGCCAAAAAAGATGTACCAAAGGCACTGACTGAACCATACCCAGAATGCAACAGGGCTGGATGATTTTCCACCCCGTTTGATCTTTGCCCTTCCATGGGGTAATTACCTTCCCTTGGCCGTATATGGTTCATTTGTTTTTTTGTCTTTTTAAAGTTTTTTACACATCTCCTTAAAGCTCAAAACAATCTTTTAAAATAAAAAATAAATGATTTTTTTTTCCTCCTAGAAAAAAAAAAAAGATAAATACTTTATAACATTATTATATATTGGTCTCAACACCAGCATCCGATTGTAAAAATGATCAACCAAAAATAATACAAAACAATCAAATAAAAAAGTAAAATAACAATCATCTGTACATATTCTTATTTTTCATTTTGTTTTTTTGTTTCTTTTAAATCCTTGTATTCAATGTTTTGTACACAGTGTCCCCTACTGGTAGGTTCCGTTCACTGCAGCTCCTGAGAAATGCATGGCTCAGTCCCAGACCTCCCATTGGTTCGCTGAACCACAGAGCCTTGTCCTCCTCCAACCGGAAGGCATCGGCAGTCCGTTTTAGCCCCGCCCTCCCTGAGGAGAGGTTCCCTCTCATTGGTCGGCGCTTCACGCTTCTGAGTACGTGTTCTGTGAGTTCAGCTTGTCCTTCTTTAACTTGACGCCGTCCACTAGCTCAAAGTTATAGTTTTCCAGGGCGGATAAGTTCCTGTCGGACATGGCGCTGTGGGAGCAGGCGCAGTAGAGGACCACGCCGCAGATGGCGCCGAGGAAGACCCCCAGCGCGCTCATGGCGATGATGGTGATGAGGATGGGGTCCAGCGTCTTCAGCATGTTTCCGGCGCCGCTGATCTCGTGGTTCTCCACAATCTCAGGGAAGTCTGTGATGTCCACGACTGGAAGAGAACAGATGAGCAAACCTGTTTTAGATATTGGTTTTGGATTTTATATGATCTGGATTACATGACCGATGTGTGCTGTATAATGCAATGTGATATGAAGTCCCTCCAAACATACAATGACACACTGAAACAAGAAATGGCATAGAAACAATCTTCATTTAGAAATCGCTAGTAAATTTCACAAAGAAACATCAAGGAACTGTGAAGTAGAAAAACTGAAATAGAAATACTATTTTTCTTGTAAAACGTACTCGTATAAACTTTTTTTTTTCATCAGTCTTCTTTAGTCACTAATTTTGTGAGTGATCCAACATTTATCACATTTGAGAAAGCCACTTACTGATTTCATTGAAGTTGTCCTCAGGTAGAATTGGCTCTGCTGGGACATCTGGGTCTATAAATGGACGGCATAAAACAGTCAGGAAATGTCAGTATTGTCATCTAAGTGAGTGGTTCTTAACCAGGGGCCTCAGCACACTTCCAAAGGGCCACAATATGGCTTAAAATGATTTAAAATAAGACTTTATAAAATAAGCTTTAAAAGCTACACCAGCTAAAAATCAAACTATAAGTTCAAAATATATTTCTTATTTTAACCATTATATTTAAGGACCAGGGTTGTCATGGTCTTGGAACACATGGATATATGAGAGAAGTAAAAAAAAAAAAAAAAAAAAAGGATTTCTAAAAGAAACAGAAACTAATAAGTAATTATTATTTTTATTTTTTTGCAATGAATAGATTTTTTTTTTTTTTTTAGCTTTGTCAAGCTCTAAAATATTTTATTGGGCAGAAATAGCTATTTAGGAGTAAAAATAAAAATGAAAATAAATAAATTCATAATAAAAAAAAAAAAACTGTAATCACAACTGACTAAAAAAGTAATGTAAATTCATTGGTAATAAAGTGTAAACCCAGTTATTGAATTATGAAAATTCTGGAATTATAAAATTTAATTATTTTAATGATTTATAAATAAGTTATTTAAATATATTAATACATAGACCTTAGTCAGTGTCACACCATACTTAACATTTGACAGGAATTAAAATGAGGCTGTGAGGGGTTAAAGTACACAAAAAAAAAAAAAAACCCCTCCATAAAACAGTGTTGAAAGTTGGGAAAATTACACGATGTAGGACTTGTGTGCCAAACTGTACGTTTGTCCCTAACTGCCTCATTTTCATCCCCATTCGATTCAATATGGTGTCTAACCTGACTTAGGGCTATCGCCACTCCCAGTGTCAGTAAATATCTGATATCTTAAGCCATAGGATGCACAGTCTTGATTTGTCTCAGTGTAGTTTGCACTATAATGGTCTAAATGACTCACCCTTGCAGTCGGCCATGTTCAGATTGTCTAAGATTTTGATGTCATCCACAGCAATGTCTCCCCAACTCTTCCTCTCCACTACGCTTTCAATTACCACCTGAGATAAAGATAAACACCAAAGTTAAATTTGAAACATATTTAAAATGTAATCAATGTAAATAACACACACACACGCAGACACACACACACACACGCACACGCAGGCACACACACACACACACACACGCACACACAGGCACACACACGCACACAAACACGCTCTCCCTGTGACACACAGACACGCAATCATACACACACGCTCTCCCTGTGAGACACACACACACACACGCACACACAGGCACACACACGCACACAAACACGCTCTCCCTGTGACACACAGACACGCAATCATACACACACGCTCTCCCTGTGAGACACACACACACACACGCACACACAGGCACACACACGCACCGGGGTGCCGCTGGACTGGATCTGCCACCTGAAACCGCTGTCCTCTGACATCCAGCCACAGAATGAAGGATCACTGGCCCAGCCAAAGTCACAGGCAAACCACAGGAACGCTACAGAGAGAACACACACACACACATTGGGAAAGATTATTAACATATGCACTTTTATATTACTAAAGCAGTGACACACACACACACACACACACACAGAATATTATATATTTTAGAATTATTACTTTTTATATTTAATAACAAAATTAATATTGCTATGATTTTATTTACATGAATGCATTTTAATATACTACAACAAATATAATATATTAGTAAATATGATTGATAAAAAAAAATGTTGAAAACAGTTGTGCTGCCCAATATTTTTGTGGAAACCATTATATATTTTTTCCAGGATTCTTTAATTAATAGAAAGTCCAAAAGAACAGCATTTATTTGAACACTCTCAGAAAAAAAGGTACAAAAACTGTCACTGGGATGGAACCTTTTCAAAATGTACTCTTTTGTACCTTATTTACTCCTAAAAGATGCATATTATTATATTAAAGGTTCATATTCATACCTAAAGAGTACATATTAGTACCTTTTGAAAGTGACAGCTTTTGTAACGTTATAAATGTCTTTACTGTCACTTTTGATCAATTTCATTAAAACCTTTCTGAATAAAGGTGTTCATTTCTCTCTCTCTCTCTCAAAATAAATAAATAAATGAATGAATAAAAAATAAAATACAAAATCTTACTGACCCTAAATTTGTGAACAGTTGTGTATATAATAACATTTGAATGTTCTGAAGCTACTGTGTGATTGATTCGACTCCACACAGGGCCAAAGCAACGTGTTTTATATCTGCTGTCCACTTGATGGCAATAAAGAGTTATTTAACAATCAGAAAACACCAACATTTAAGCATGAGCATTTCCAAATCCATTCCAAATTCTGTCGTGCCTAAGCCAAATTCACATTCATACTCCAAATATAGCTAGATCTTGAGCGAGAATACAGAACACACAAAACAATGAAGCTTTGAAAGTGAGATTGACATGAAAGAAGGAGGGAGGGATTTAACGATGTTAGATTGAGTGAGAGATAGAAAGCCAAAGAGAGAGACAGCAGGGAAAGCAGAGAGAATTGAGACGGACAGAAAAGCAGAAGCACGTCTAGGATGTCAGCTATGCCGGTGCCTGCACAGCCTCCGCGCTGCTTTTCTAGACAGTTTAATAAAGCCAAGCGCTCCGCTCCCTTAATAATGCCAGGATTCTCCACGAGTTTCGCAGGGTATTTGCTCACTGAATGCGAAGGAAAGAATTTCCCATTAAAAGCCGCAGCTCAGGCACGCAGCCACTGCCGCTACAAAAAAATGCCAGTTTCCAATTAAAAGTTATTTCTTCTTTTCCATCTTTAAATGGATTTGGGCTGTCGCAGTGGAAGACAGTGCAAGGATACGTTTCACCACAGTCCAGAACGTTCTACCAGTTTTGAATGCTTGTCATAGCAAATAAACCACATCCAATAATAGAAAGCACACACATCTACTCAATGTTAACCAACCAAGACCACACACACACAAGGACACATGCTTATTAGGACCTTCAATCTATTCAATTGTTTTGCTGTTGTGATGAGCCTCAGCCAGGGCCAAACAGACAAACACACACACACACGCAGATGCAGACGCAGACACACACACACACACACACACATACACACATACACACATACACAGGCTAATTAGACAAGGTCAGTTAAGGGGCATTTCTCATTTGTCCATTAGTGAGCAGTCTTGAATGGCTAATCAGTCACTACGCTGAATTAGCAAATCAGAGGGGCTCTTTATAGATTTTCACAAGAACACTTCAGAAATGAGATTACATACTCATCTTTGAGTTTACACACTAATAATCAAATAGCCTCAACAACCAAACAGAGAACAAAGAAAACATACAATGAGAATTTTCTTTCTTAAAGGTGCAGTGCGTAATTTCTCTGCTGCTAGTGACACCAAACAGAATTGCAAAAATGTTTATTATTATGATTTTCTGAAGAAAATTGCTACTGGCCCTCCTCAAATAAATAATTTTTTTTTCTGTTGTTCAGAAAAACAGGTAGTCCTGCACCAAACCCATGTTGGACTGACATACATAGGCGCGGGAAGTGAGGGTGCTGCTTAACAAAAAAAAATCGGAGTGTTTATTTACACTAAGTGCAAATAGCCCGCCTTGTTGGCAGAAGCTATTTATACTAACTCCGCCCACCTATGTGTGATTGGGATAGTCAACACTATAAAAGACTAATAAATAAATAAAAATATATACGTATATATATATTGTAACGAGGTGAA